CAAACTTGTGTGTATGTAGAGGAGATGGTTGTTATTTTAACTAAAGGCTCCAGTTGACATACAGGATGTAGAGCAACCAGCTGACACACACACTGTACCGAGACCAGCTGAATGTTTTAGTTTAATGAGTGGTCAGCCAATGGTTTCTATAAATGTGCATCTCTATTACTGGTTTTGCTTCTGCAAAGATTCTTTACCTTAGGTGTAGAATACAACAACTACATTTCCCATCAGTCTTAAATATGCTATGAGAACCTTATGGAAGCTGTAGTTGCTGATGCTGATAAAACAACCTGCAATTTCTTTTATTGTTACTGATGAGGTTCGTCTAATTAAATTGGAAAATATAGACACCTTAGAGCTGCATCATGTTTGAGTTTTTCATAAAAGGGTTAGAGAGCGGGATAGAAAATATCTATGCAAAGTACATTGTGCAATAAAGATTGTCTGAACACAACCACACCAGAAAGAGGCTGGGAGCTGGGAAAAAAAAAAAAGAGTGAAAAGTTACACTACACACTGTAAAAAAAACTCAATACTAGATTGTCCCATATAAACTGTACATGCTCCTGCTGCACTCCACTGGAGCCTGCAACCATCCAGGAATGGTGGAAATCCAATTCAAGTGGCCAGACTTGTACAAACCTTTGTAAAAGCATGGCATGCCACTAATGAGACCGCCACCGTCAGTGTGAACATAGCCTTTGGCTGTTTTTGTAAAGACCGGCTGCAGCCAGCTTTGGTGGCGCAGTCAACCAGGACCGACCTGGGGAGATCTCTTCTCTGAAACCCACTGGCTCGACACATGTGTGGTGTCACGAAGATCTGTTTTTGAAAGTCTGCATGTGTTCAGCTCTCAGTCATTTCGTAGCTTCTAACTGAATATCTGTGGCATGGAGTTCACTTGCACTCCGAAGTTAACCTTTCATACTTTCACAAATTAAACATGATCTAAACTGAACATTTCCTGCTGCTTCATATTACAAGTTTTCCACTGGCAAACCAGCAGGAGCCTGTTATTGTCAGGTAGCTACAGCAAATGCAACGTATTTGTCACCACATTAGAGTTATTGTGTGACAAAAAAAAATCAATCTACAGAACAAGATATGGACACTTTTGGTGATTAGCTTTCTATATGAAAGGAGGAATAGTACAAGATACAGCATTATTATTACATTTATAACATATATTATTGTAAAAAGTCCAATGTCAGATTTATGCTCTTTGTGTCTATGGACTTTTTGAAATGTTTAAGAACATTTCTGAAGCTGAATGGAGAGGAAGCTGCTGGCCACAGAGGAAAGTCATAGCAGACACAATGGAGGAAACAAGTGAGAGAGGAAGCGACGGCGAAGCCACAAAAACACAGTGAGAGAGATGTATGGAACTGATAACAGTCTCTCATGAAATATCAGGTATCAGTCATGAAGTCAAAGTCTGATTCATGAAAGTCAGCTGTGGCTGTAGCTGTCCAATTCAGTCTCTAAAGGCTGCAATGATAGTCTAATCGTCATAGATGTTATAGCATTTTGTTAAATTACATTGGTATTGAATATGATTCATTGATTTGCTAAATTACCTCTGGGTGTGGTGAGTCTGAGTCAGTGGAAAGTTCTGGTGTCACAGGCTTCTCCAAATCTAGTTTCACAGGTTTTTAAAGGTGGGGAACAACATTTGTTATGTTGAAATGAAAATGGCAAAATGTAAAGATATTGTGTTTAGGCTCAAAACACCAACTTTAAAACAGAATTACTGAAATCAACCCTCCAAAACCAGTGAAACTCTCACACTAAAATGAACGAACATGTGCTGTCATTTACATAAATAATGAAATTTCAACACTGACAAAAATAAGGGGGAATCTCATGATTTCATGTCATAAAAATGGCCGCCGTATTTCCTAATTTGTTTCAGATCTGTGTATTCATTTCTCTCTGAGAAACAGATACACAAATTATTCAATGAAAGGAAACAGCAGGTTTTCAGTGAACAGCAACAACATGAACATTATGAGCTGAATCTGACTAAATAAGCAGGAACTTATGGGTTAGTTCAATGTCCAATACATCCTTATATTTGCCTGTTTTGACATCAGTATTATGTGACTCCCATCCATTCCAAACTCCAGAGAGAGAATAAAGCATTTTGAGGAGCTTTTGAACTGAGTTGCAAATATCATGGCCAAGAGGCACCAAAGCAAACTGGACTCCATAATTATCATTTACAATCTTTTATTCTGAACAATATGTGGCTAATTGCCACTTCCTTGAAACGCAACTGCACTTGGGTTCTGGAGCCCACAGTAAACTTTTAGCGAGTCAATCCGCCAAAACTCTTCGGGGGAAATTCCCCAAAGCATTAATATAGTACTGTAGCTGAACTGAAAGTGATTATATAACAAGTATTTATTTATTCATTAAAGTCCATTTATTTCATGAAGAAATGGGAATTGGGAGTTTGTCAGAAATCCAACTGCGATGGTGGAGCAGCAGCTGGCTTTCTGATCAGTCAGAACGCTCTGAACATGGATCTAATGGTGCAAAAAAAATTCATGGTCCGAGTTTTGAGGTCATATTTTTCAGTACAGTGGTGAAAACAAAAGAAATGTAGAGGGAAAACACATTTTTCTCATTTATTTTGAAAATGTTAACATTGAATGGAGGCTCACTGGACTTAATTCTAACTGTAAAAATTACAGCGCTTTAGCACCTGTTCTCTTTCGTGCAATTCGGATTTTGTGTTGGCTTGTTGAGGCTCTTGTCATCAATATGAGGTTGTCAGGTAAACAGTAGAGCAGTACAGGAAGTCAATATCCCTGCCAAAAATAGTTCCAGCACGCAACTACCCGTAAAACCACCAACTGTCATTTTTACGCTTTGGTTTATGTACAGATTAAACAAACAGGATATAGTTTGTTTATCAGTGAGTTTTAGAGGTGCTGACAGATTGATTGTTTTACCTTTGGACTAGGCTAGCTAGTATTGTAGTTGTTAGAAAACGTTGTAAACTGGTGTTAACGGTGCATTTTTAGTGGACTATTTTCAGCGGTGGATTAATACTCTTTTGGTCCTGAGTATTTACAGCAGCAGGATGGAGTATGTGGGACTGACACAAGATAAACTACAGCTCAACTATGGCACAGAGGAATAAGATACATCATACGTACATACTGGCAATAGGAAATTACAGAATATCACCAGATTTGTCCTTTAAGGAGGATAAGTCAAGGTGTGACTAAGCATCCTAATTTTTTATCATTCTGTTTATTCAAGGGGACACAAAGAGACTAATCCCATGTCTAATTGCATATCAGGCTACATTCAGCTTCACCAAGAAAAACGCATTATGATGTAAAACTCAAACACAGAGTGAATAATGGCTGGAAATAGAGAAGAGAAAGACAGACAGAGAGACCACCCACAATGCCAGTAATTGATTGCTGTGTCGACTGTGTTTGACACCACTGCTCTTTAGAGGCGGGATCAGAGCATCTCACACATACAGTACATACAGTACATACACACACACACACACACACACACATCACACCAACAGCATACCCAGAGGTAGCAGAGTGCAAGACAGGCATGACTAATCAATCGTCTTCGCAGCAGGAGTCGACAGGCTGACTAGGGGATTAAAGAATTTCCCCTTGAGACTCCAGATTCATCTGATTCACCATGCCACTGTTACACATCCACAACTCATGAAATCATACAGTAACAACCAGCACACAGTGCTCTCCCATTACCTTTTTTTGGTCGGACCGCAACAGTAGTGCAAGCCCTATACATACGAATGTCTGTCACTAACTGACTTTCTATTATATCATCGGAGCCATTTAGAGACAGTTGTTTACAGCAGTTCCACAAAAGTTCTGGACAGTGATAGTGTGAGTAGCTTAGCAGGAAATCAAACACTTAAAATCAGCCGTGCTACTCATTAAATATTCCTTGCTAATTTCATTCAACAAAAACAAGATTGAGACAGCAACAGAGCAACATTTAAGCGATGCAACATTAAAAACTCCACATGACGTGCAGTTTCATATCAGGATGACATTCCCCAGCAGCAGCTTTGGTGTCCTAAAGCAATGTGCTTTTGTGCTGCTAAGGAACCCTGATGCTGTGGCACAGACAGTGACTGCCAGGATTCTCTATGAAGCTTTGTTAACAGTAAATTACAGTATGTGGAAGCTCATTCTCACTGGAAAAACTAATTACGTGAAGAGCTTGAAAAGATTAAACTTTTCATGTGTGTTTCATATCTTTTATTCATACTGTGAAAATTTGACTTCATATTTCTGACTTAAAATCTCATCATTCAAATTGGTGCTGGAACAATGAATGGACTAATCGATTAGGCAATGAACCGAAAATGACTCAACAGCTTTGATAGCTGAGTAATCATTAGGTCATTTATTGAGGAGAAATCTTTGCTGGTTCCAGCTTCCCAAATGTGAGGATTTGCTGCTTTTATTTTATATGATTGTTAATTGAAAATGTTTGGGTTTTAAACTTTGGTTCGGAAAAAGTAAGACATTTTTTTGTGTGTGGCATTTTACATAATGAAACAGACAATTTCGATTAATTGAAAAATTTAAATAAATACTTTGACTCAGAATTCAAAATCAATACTTTAGTATCTAATAACAAATGAATCATTAATCAAATGTTAGAAATTATCTTTAATTTGATGTGAGCATTATGACTAAGTCCTGATTTTAAGGTTGTTTCTCAGTCAAATTTTGAGATACAAAATTCATAAGGATGAGATTTACAGCCAGAATTTTTATAAAAACAAAGTTGTATTTTTGATACAAATGTATTTCATCATTTGGTGAGGTTGTGCATTCTTCTTATTTTTGGCAGACTTTTTTGTACTTCTGTTTTTTCTTAATCTGCTTTCTGAAACTCTTCATGTCTCATTCATCAGCTGATTAACTGATATGAAACTGATGAACATAACAATGTAAAAAACATGCAGCTGTTTCACTCACTGATCTGAGACACTTTAACGGTCACGGGGCTGGACTTCTTCTCGGACGCCATGTGCCACCGCCGTCCTCCTCCCTCACTCCTCCCTCCTTTGTCGATGAAGGCTCGGACACGGCAGGTGTACTCCCCTCCCTCCTCCGCGCTCACCCCCTTCACCCCCAGCCTGTACTCCCCGGCTCCCGTGCGCTCCAGGCTTGCCTCCCCTCGCTTTCCCTGCGCACCGCTTGAGGACGTGTTCGAGATCACCACCCCGCTGCGCTCCATGGTGACGATGTCACGCTCGCCGGCCAGCCAGGTCACTTCCAAGGCGAGGGCCTGCAGGTTGTCGGCGGTGACGGAGCAGAGGAGGGTCAGCGTGTCGCCGGGGGAGAGGAGCTGAGATGTGGAGGAGGGAGAGGAGGAGGATGAAGCCTTCACACTGAGGGACTGACCTTGAGAGGACAGAGACAGAGACACCATCAGTTCTTTCATCCTTATATCTACAGACAATATGCTTCAAGACAAAGGTTTAACAAAGAGAATAGAAAAGATCCCTCTGTATTACTGAAGTCTTCTTCCCAGAGGCGACAACACCAGACTCATTAAATGAGTGGAAGACACTGGCTATTAGTCTTCAGTCTGGGGTGGCTGAACATGGCTTGTTTGTAGCATTATATTCACTTTGATGCAGAAAGGCTTGAGCTGAAATATTTGTTTGGTTGATAGTTGACTGCTACAGAAATAAATGATGTATTTATTACGCTACTCTGATACATGATGAATAGCTTCAGTCCAGCACCTTGAAAATGAAGAACTATTTCCTATCATTGTAAATTTTAGACTGTAATCATTCTAAACAAGCTGTTTACAGAGCTCTTTGAACCATAGGGTGTTTTTGCTTAATTCAAAAGGGCTCGTCACTACACGTCAAGATGGATTAAATCTGCGTCACAATCTGTGTCAGACTTTGTGATAATAATTATGAGGCAGATTGTACAATGAATGCTTTGTCATTTGTTGTACGACCAAGTAGAACAAAAAAAAAAGAAAAGAAAAAAAGATGCAAACAGAAACACGTCATCAACTCGCATCATCCATCTGTACACTCTCTCAAAATGTACCCAATGATTAATTGATTAGTTCATTTAATCATTCTTCTTAAACTGTAAATCTTTGTGTTCTGGACTATTCAACAACTGACAAAAAACAAAACATCTGAAGAAAATCAGTGTTCTATGGACAATTAATCAGTAGGTCAAAAGAATAGTTGACTGCTTAATTTATAATGACAATAATCAGTATTAACTGCCCTAAATGTATAAGCTTTGGCTTCTATGCATCGGAAAACCAAAATTGAAAGAAGAGCAGGAGGAGAGAAGTCCACAGAGATCTGGAATAAGAACGAAATGTGGAATATGTATGGAATATGTCATTTCTGACACTTTGCTGCTACAATTTTTGTCTTGGACGACCCGAAATGACCCTCAAATGTGAGCGAATCTCTTGATTTAATGGAACAAACCACACGTTGCAAATTGCTTCAAAGACTTAATCAATAGAACATTATTTAAATTCTGATAATGAATAATAAAATGATCCTTAGTTGCAACAATGATGTATTCATTTGAATTTAAAGGTAGATGAGAAACCATAAGGGCCAATGTTACGTTAAACTGGACAAAGATGAGAAGTGTGAATAGTCATCTATAAATGTCAGAGGATTCAGCAGCGATGCTAAAAAAGAACTTTATAATCCTCTCAAAGAAAAGAAGTCCAGCAGATTAAAAACTGTTGTCAGTCTTTTCTGTGTATCTTCAAACCAACAGTTGGATCAGGGGTTTGGATACGGTCTCCGGTAGCAACCTGCAGTGCAGTATGTGGGGAAGAGCCCCTGTATGGTGTCTGGAAGAGGACAAAAGAGACAAAGCCCACTCTGTTTGAATTTTCTCATCCTCTTTACTCAAGTCAGTAAGTCAATATGAACTGACTGGGTCACAATGGACCTGAGACCGAGACCTGTGTGTGTGTGTGCCAGTGTGTGTTTGTGTGTGTGTGTGTGCTGCTCATCTCTGGTTTCATTACAAACCACTGTGTGCTGTGTGTTTTCCAACACTTAAGAGGATATGGTAACCCAGAAAGATATAAGATATGGTGACCACAGCAACCGCAATGAATGAGTGATGGAGAGGGAGTGTGTGTGTGTGTGTGTGTGTGTGTGTGTGTGTGTGTGTGTGTGTGTGTGTGTATGTGTGTGTGTATAGGGGCCTCTCTAAAGCCAGTATAAGACAGAAAGACAGGCAGTGAGGGTCACGAGGCTCCTGGGACACAGAAGAAAAAGACTCACAGAGGAGAGGATGCCATTACAATAAAGACAGCCACACAGCAGAGAGAGAGAGAGAGACAGAGAGAGAGAGAAATCTCCCACGTCCCTCCATCTCCTCTCATCCTTCATTTTCTTCTAATATCCAACACAATAGCACAGAAAACTGCAAACACATCCATTGTAATAACCTCTTCTACCAAGAAACAAGAGTGAGATTTGAAGATCATCTATTACTCCCTGCAGGAAAATTATCTACAAACTCAGCTCTTACTACTGTTCGAACTGCAGCTGTAATTACTGCTGAGGATGTGAAGGGAACAAGGACTTATTACAACGTTACACAGGTCATTTAATGGGTCACAGAAAATAATGGAGCGCCGGCTCATTTGCTAGTGCTGGTACTGGAACACTTTTTCTTTTATGTTTACCGCCTTACTCATATGGATCACTGCTATTTTTATCAGGAACTGGAGACAAGAACTCTGTAGCAAAAGCCACTTGGTTCAATCAGCCCATTTCAAAAAAGGCTATTTTCTAATCATGTGACTGTGAGCTGTGAGTCACCATCCATCCTTAGATTAGCTTAATCACCCTTGGTACAATCACTGGAAGCTGCCCACGATAAACAGTGACTTTGTAAAGACGAATGAAAATGACGCCACTTCGTCCACAGCTGCAGAGTTTCCACCTGAGGGAAACATGAATGTCTGAAACACATTTTAATTGAATATTTGTTGAGATTTCAGTCTGGACAAACTGAGAGGAATCGACACCTAGAGCCCGTCACTAAAACTAAATTGAAATAAAGTCTTTTGATGGTTAATTTGAACAAAAACAAAGCGTGAATGTTTCTTCAGTGACTAATACTATGACTGAGGCTACATCCACACTGATACACTGATCTCCGCCCAGACGAGCGTTTCAGCTGATAAGACCCAATCAGGGAGCGACTGTAGGTGTCTACGTCATTGTTTCCAAAGTTCTCTGTTTCTGCCCGTCCAGACAGCAACCCCAGAGTTTTCAAACTAAAACGGGGTCAGCAGTGTTTCCAAAAGTCTCCGTTTTAGACATCCGAAAACTCCAGAGTAGTGTGGACCCAAGGCGTAAATGTGGCAAAAGTGATGCGTTTTAAAACTCAAATGTATAGTGTGGGCGCAGCCTAACGGTGCAACCAGCGCAAGACTGTTTTTCTTTTTCTTACCTGTAGGAATAACTTTAACAGTTCCCATCTCTTTGGCGTTCTCTACGATTTTTATCCATTTCCCTCCATTTTCATGTGTCCACTCTGTTCCATTGCACTCGTAAGTCCCGCCATCAGACGTCGTCACCCTGGATATCACCAGTTCAAACACTCCATTCCTTCCGGGGACCAACCGGATGCCTCCGTCGGCGTAGCGCCGGGCAAACTTTGCCCCCGTGACCACATCTCCCTGCGGGCCAAATGTCAAGATTTCCTCTGTGGTTGCTCCGTTCTTCAGCGACCAGCTGACAGACAGGTAGGTGGGGTGGGTGAGGGCCCGGGTGACGTTGCAGGAAAGCGTGATCTCACTTCCTTCTGGGACTTCTTGGGGAGGGGTCTGCGGTGAAACGCTGAGGGTGTTTGGAATGACTGACGGAAAGAGAGACAAAAGAATATAAATTAGTAACTGTGGAAAATGTGAATATCACTGAAGACATGTGAAGGATAAGAAAGTGGAATTGAGTTAGGCTGTAATTGAGGTTACATGCTGGTTTGGATACATCCACATCAATCATCTTCTTCTTCTTCTTCTTCAAAAAATAAAATCTCAGAGTTTATTGTTATTTTTTCATTTCTCCCAAACACTGTAGCCAAACTGTTCAGTACTCGAACACAGTCTGGTCTATAATCAACAGTATATTTGCATTTTCTCCCCATTTTTCTTCACTATCTATTTCTGGAGGCACGTTCTGAGCTGTGTGCAAGAGGATCCTGTTTACTGCAGTGATCAGTTTAAAACGATTTCAGCTTAAAAAAAACTGCTTTTTTGTGGGTGAAAAACAAAAGCAATGACATAACAAAATAATCAAGGTGAGCAATGCCTTCTCATGTGCTGTTCTGCCTTCTCCACCCCCACCACCCCTCAGTACTTTGATGTTGAGCAGGGGAAAACTTTGTATATATATATTTATATATATATGTATATAGGAAATGAATGAGCCTGAGAGGCACGTCTGATTAAAAACAGACATGTTAAAATGGAAGTTCACGCAAAAATAACATCAAAGGAAGTTAAAAGGTGGGGAAAAAAATGACAGAAATTCACAAAATCTAAAAATTTAAGAGTCGAGATTCAGCCGTTAAAGTGACACAATCATAAATAATGATGACGTCTCACATTTCTACTTCATTATGTTACATTCATGTTAACTAAACATGTGTTATGATTAAGACTGTGGACTTTCTTGTACAACATCTCACACAGCGTGCCTCTCTTGTCAAGGTCACTGGCTGAAGCAGAGCTCAATGAACAAACACACTGCTCCAGACAAAGCTGTAAATTTGTGATTTGTGTGTGTGTGTGTGAGAAACACACCCAGAGGAGTGTTCATGAAGGTTAATGACTCGCCTGCTCAGGTGACACAGTAAACTCTAACACTAACACATTTTACCTCCACGTCTTTCACTGTGGGCTTCTTTCGCTCTGATAACGAATAAGCTCCCGGTTGATTGTGTGGCTGCTAAATGTCACGTTCAAGAGTGTGAGCAGGTCTTAACAGAGCAGCTTTTAACATGGCTTTGTTTCTTCCCTTGTTATGACTCATAAAGCAGGCTCGGGAGTCTCACTCTGTGAGAGGGGAATTAAAAAAATTGGGGACCTTATCACTGCTGGAGATTCAAACGCATCCCCAACAACAGCAATAAAAAAGAAGTTTTACCTCCGCTTTTCACAACGGGGAGAGAAAAGGAAAAGACATTAGATGCTTTGATGAATGGCATGTCTGCAGTGAAGACATGGGGGGTTAATAATAAAAATAAGTGGCAGGCTCAGTAGCGTTGTTGGGTGACTGCTGAACACAAATTACAGGCTCAGTTTTATCATTATCACGACTTGTTTTGATCTTTTCCATATGAAAACACTAAATGCTACTAAAATAAAGGAAATTATGAGAAAGAGTTGGGTGTGTTTTCATATGCTATTCTGACATCAGGTATCATGTTTAATCAATAATCTAGTCAAAAACACAAATTTAACATTTTCAAGTAATAATAGCTTAAACACTTAAAGTTTCATGGTGAATAATCCTTATTTAAGATTCTAAGATAAAAGTCTTGGTGCAAAAGAATCCAAGAATTGACAAATGTCTGGGAATGAGGAGTATGTAGCTGTGCATTATGGGAATTACATTTATGCCACATTCACCTCCTGTGGGGAAGCATTCAGAAAGAAAAACTCAAGGTGGGAGATAAAAACATACTGGATCTTTATGTAGGCCGGTTTAAAAAAAAAAAAATGTATGGAGGGACAAATGACTAATGTCTGATGCACAGTTTCACTTCATCCTGTCTGTCATGAAGGTTTCATGGACGCAGCCATGCCACCACGTATGATAACTTGTGCTTTGTGTAATAAACCTTGACTGAAGTTTTGGTGGTGCATCATACGCTACAGGCTACAACGAGCACACGCTGCTGTCGCTGTGCCAGTGACAGTTAAAGTTAGCTTAGTCTGAAGGAGCAGCACCTGAGAACTGAAGAGCTTACCTCACTTAATATTACTAGCTGGGAATATAAATAAGCAGGACTGTGCATCAAGTGCAGATGTGCCCAGAGGTGGAAGATATCTACCCACTACATAATTCACACGGCTGCCATATTTGCCATTCAATACGCGAATTCGGGAAAAAGGTGTGCAGGTCTAATAATGTTGGTGAGTTAGCTGTGAACTTTAGACTTTTAGCCTTTTTATTTACATTTAAAAGTGGATGTGATATGAGGACAAACCTCAAGCAATAATCTGTGTTTCTAGGATTTCTAAGTAGACTTAAACAGCTTTATCACCGATATTAGACATACTGCTATAAGTCACGTGGCTTCCAAGGAGTGTGTGTGTGCGTGTGTGTGAATGATGTCTGTGGGTTTAAAATGCTTAAACTACTTTCACTGGAATCCCTGAAGGTATAAATATATAAAGTGTGGGTATAAACAGGACATTACTGGGCACCAGTAAGACTTGTAGTGGAAGTCAGAGTCTCCAGTGCCGCTGCATGTGTGATGTGAGCGTCTATGGCAGATAACAAAGGCAGGACGAATAATCTGCGTTTTGCTCTATCAATTAAAATTAGCCTGAAAGGAGTTTTCAAATCCTCAGCGACCTCTGCTTCACTTGTTTCTTACATAACCAAACAGCCCTAGTGGATCGATGGAAGCTGTGTGTGTGTGTGTGTGTGTGTGCGCGCTGATGAACGAGGTGCACAAGTCTCGACTGGTATGGACCCTCCAGCCGCGAATCTAACTCATCATCTCTGTTAAGGGGCTGTCTCGTGTACACACACACACACACACACACACACACACACACACACACACACACACACACACACACACACACACACACATTCTCACACGCTACAAAACACACTACTCGCTCATACATATGCTCTACATACACACGACTCCCATCTCTTTCACACATAAACAGTGCTGCCTAGTTAATTCAGGTCTAAATTTAACAAGGTGTCTGGGGAGCCGCGCTGAGAAGCAGGAGCAGCTGAACATGATGGTGCATTATGGAGCCAACCAACCTGCTGTCAGACAATCCCTTCCTTGTGACTTCATCTCTCAAATTTGAGCTTTAATAGCATAAGATGTTCCTGAAACTCCTCTTACGCATCATCCTGTGTGTTTGGGATTAGGTTAACGGTGGGTTTAAACCAGTCCAGCCGCCGAAATATGTGTTTAATTACTAACTGGGTAATTATGAGGGAGAAACCCAGTTAAATTCAAAAGAAAACGCTGAGTACGGGTTTCTCTCTCTCCCACTGTTTCTTTGTCAGAAGATAGTCCAAATTAAAACGGCGTACACGTTTTCTGGTTCATGTACAGACCTCGCTGTTTGTGGACAGAGAGATCCCTGGAGGTGAGTGGAAAAAATGTGTTGTTTTTTTTTTTTCTGTGGGTGAACTGACCCTTGTGAATAATCAGTCCCAGGTCAAATACCTGGAGGAGCGGCAATATATTCAAATATCAAGCATGACCCGGCTATTACAACAAAACTGTAGGAGAGGGAGTGGAGCATTTAGTTTATCACTGTTATTAGGTGTGACTGGATTACAAATACCAGAAGCTTTTGACTTCGTCACAGTTATTTCAGGAAGTAATTCTTTGTTTTCAAGACATTTAAAACTACTGAAGCCTTGAGAGATCCATTACAAGATGCCAGCTTTAGACCATTTACTTTACCTGTTGGCGTGGCTGATATTAAGACCTTATCGCTCTTATCTATTGACAGTAACAATACACAGTGGTAGGATTAACATGATCCGGCCTCAGTATAATAAACCTGGATGAGAGGCCTTTATGCTGGGTTCTTGTTTGGAGTTTAAAAACCACACTGACGCTAAACGTACACTTTTACCCTGCAGAACAGAGCGAGGCTGAAAGGGGATGCTTATCTGTGAAGGTTAGATGAGGCAACCGTCTCCAAAAAAATTAGGCTTATACTGTAAACCAGTGGTTCTCAAAGTGGGGTCCAACACTTTCTGTAATAAAACATCTTATCATATAGGGGTCTGTGGTCTAATGTGTGTGAGTTTAGGGGCCCTCGATGTGAAACAGGTTGAGAACCAGTGCTGATAAACGACTAATTTGGAGGAGGAAATGCCACCTGGATTACATTTCCTATCAACATCATGTGGAATGTATCAAGGCGGAACTCTCCACCAATGTCCGCTTGTGGTGACTAGAGCATGATTCATGGTTTTATGGTTATGTTTGAGCAGCTCCCAGCACTTTGTTAAGGGGAGGGAAAGATAGTGGTCAGGTTAAATATTAAAAAGTCAACACTTCATTGGAGCATTTCTCCTGTATAAACTAAATTATTCATTTAGAGCTGCAACAATTAGTCGATTTGAAGAAAACTCTGCAACTATTGAGGCTGTTGTCATATTTCAAGCAAAAACACACAAAAATCTGTTGGTCCCAGCTTTTCAAATGTCCTTTTTTAATTGAGAAAATAATTGGCAGATTAATTGATAATGAATATAATTGTTAGTTGCAGCCCTAAACCAAATCCACAGCCTTAACCATAAAATCCCTAACGTTAACCTAAGTGCTTTTGTAGCCTGCAGGGTGCTAAACAAATAAAAATGTTATTTTTAGGAGACAGGGCTGGACGAGGAAGTGCTGGATCCGACTCTTTTCATCCCAGCAGTGGGGTTATGCAGGGTGGTATACAGTGTATCTGCCTTCTTATTTGACTTGTAAATGGATGACTTGTCTGGACCGCTAAATTCTTGTAAAACAGGTTGTGCTTTTGGTTAATAATGTTTTGTATGCAGATGATTTAGTTATAGTCCCTCCCTGCTGTGCTGGTCCACAGCAGCCGATGGTGCTGAATATAACATCAGAAAGAGCAGTGCAATGCTCCTGTGATGTGAAAGAGGAGAGAACAAGAGTATTTCCTGAAAGTTAAACACATAAACAGAACTTCAGATCTTATTTTAGTTTATTATATTTATCTATGATGCTTAAAATTATAATAACTGATGAACCCGAGCAACAAAACCCTTCTAATATCAATACAGAGCTCTGTGGAACTAAATACCTCATGTGTTGTTAGAGTCTGTCTGTGTCTATGTAGTTCTTTTTTGTGAGCTGATGAAAGCCTGAGAAGTAAAGCACTTTTTACACAACACGACTTTTTACATTCGCGACTTTCAATTTGAAACCTCTTGGGTAAAGAGAGCAAAAAAACCTGCAACTGCATTGATCTCAATTGGTTGAAAAGTGTAAGGTTAAAATATTTAGTGTTTAGTATTTATTTTGAAGTCCAGACAGCTACTTTTTATTTATACATTTATTAATAAGGATCCCTCCACATGCTCTATATGAATGTGTGTGTGTGTGTGTGCGCGCTCAGCTCAGTGAGTAACGAGCAGAGAGACACACAAGTGTTTGACAAATATTAGCAAAATAACTGACGACAGGCAGCGAGAGAATCGCATCGGCCACACAGACAGGGGACGTCCTTGTTAGGAAACACTGGTGGCAGCAACTTGACGACTGCGCAGTGAGCATTACAAAGTCCACTGCTTTTTCCATACACACCACACAGATGTTTTATGGGAAGACGCACTTCAAACACACACACTAAAACAGGAAACTGTAATTACAATTTTACAGTTTACAATGTCCTATAACGCTTTTGTATTGTTTGCCATTGACAAATTTTGGAAATGTTTTAAAAACTAAATATGACGTGATGGAACGTCCTGCAGCAACTCTATCTACGGTTTACATGTTTGGTTATCCCGTCATTGAGGAATTTTCTCCTGCTTTTGTGTGTAATAAAGTGAACGTTCACTCTTAAATCGGACCTGCCCATGGATGTGGAGTTTGTCAGTAGAGAAGAAAAGAGAGGAAAGATGTCACACTAATGAATTTGTTCCTAATTAAAGTGTGGGTTATTTTACTGATGTAGTATGTGATTTCTGCACGTATCAGACGAACACAGCTGGGTTTTAAATATTTATTACTATTTACAGACTGTGTTGGATTAATAAAATGCAGAAGAAGCCTAATACTTCTTTACTGGATACATGTTTACAATCGAATAAGCCAACTCATTAAAAAATGAATAATTAAGATCAGTGTATATGCCAGAGGCCACCAAATTTAGGCTTTTACAGCCAAATGTTTTCTCCCCCTCTCACTGGCTCCTCCATATCCTTGTGGAAAGGATAAGGTCACAGATTACAAGACAGAAGTCTAAACATTGACACATGCTAACCATGCTAACAGTAGCAGAGTTTTTAAGGGCCTGCATTTCTCCCCACACATGAGGAGAAAAAACCCCAACTATTACCAACTGTTTGTTTGACAGCGTTTCCCCTCATTATGGACTGTTTGGTACTAGAAACCCTGTCATCGAACATTCCTCCCTCTGCACTGCCTCCATTATAAGACATATGACGGCATTTATATTCTTCTCCCAGCCTTTGTGTTTCGCTACATAAATCTGTGTCTCCCTGGCCCTCATTTGACACGAGCCAAGTTCTCCCACCTGACATCTGCTCCCCACCATGAGTGTGTGAGTGTAGGAGTGTGTTGACATGTGCACGGTGTGCTGCGTGTCTATGCGAGATCCACATTATTACGCCAGCAATTGTCTAAAAGCAGCAGGAGCGTGCATTTGTGTGTGTGTGTGTGTGTGTGTGTGTGTGAGTGTGTGTGTGCAGGAGGGTATATACATGGTCTGTGGAGCATTAGTGAATCATGGGGATAGCTGTTAAATGAAACCAACATAGCCAGCTAGCTTCATACACACACTCACACAGTTAAGACAGCTAGCCCAGCTCAGAAGACTACGTGCCATAATAAAATATTAGATAGTTTTCATTTAAAAAAAAATAAAAAAAAGCAGTTTAATTATTAATAAAAGGACTAAATTGTCAAACACACACACATACATGTGTCACATACCAATTAGTTGGACCTGAGCCTCGTAGTTGCCACTGATGACCGAGTCGGTGCTGGGCGTTTGACACCAGTACAGCCCAGCGTCCTGCGACTTCACCTCGGCGATCTTCAGCTCCACCTCGTTGTCTTTGAGCCGCACCACCGAGATGTCACCAGACGCAACGCGCTTGCTGATCGACGGGTGGGAGTAGCTGGCGTCGAAGGTGGAGATTATCTTCGTCCTCGTCCCGCTTGCCTCCCTGGACGTCATCCACTCGAAATCCTGCAGGACAGAGAGGGATGATAACCGTCAGCAGTATATTTCGCCAGTGAGGACAAAAAGACATAACCCAGGATGATTTTGGTGAACCCCTGTAGCGAGACCATCATGTCAAAATATACTCTTATATCTTAAAAGCCATGGCCAAATTTCGACTTACTTTGTTGTGTATATTTCATTTTTAATACCGTTTTATTTCACACCTCCAGGTTAAACTGTCGAGGCTCACCATCCTTCAGGAGGCGCCGAGTCGGCTCCTTTTGTTTGATGTATTTTTAATACAACAGGTTTGTGGTGTAACTATTTCATGATCCATTTGTAGCTCTCTGCAGGTTTTTTTTTTTAAAACAGAATACTAAAACTCACATTCACCTGACAATTACACAGCTCTCTAATTGCAGGGACTTCTGGGAGTTTCAAAACGGGATCACGATGCAGAAAAGGCAGAATCTTGTACTCGACATGTGCCTTCGCTGGCATGAACTCGGCCACTGTAGTTTATTTTGAGCCAGTCCCACATACACTGTCCCGCCACTGTAAATACTCACCAGAGCAGTGAGTATCAATCCGCGGGTGAAAATAGTCCCCAACAAAACTCACTATTTCCCCCGCATTGAAAGGGGTTTGTTAAACCTGTCAGTCTGTCAAGAAACCAGATGTGACATGGACGTTACCTGCTCACGAGGTCCTGAATATTCCTTGACATCACATCTGATGGAGACCGGCTGACCCTCCACCCGGATTAACGGACCAGGAGACACCGTCACCACTCGAGCCGAGCACCCACCTTGAGGCACAGAAAGAATGTTTAAAAAAAAAAAAAAAAAAAAAGAGTCTTCAACAAATAAGTCATGTACTAAGGCTGGGCTGGATTTGTTGGATGGCTTTATTCAGATATATTGTCTATGGAAAATATCTTATGTGCCTGTTCTTTTAGGAGCAAGCTACAAGCCTGATGACAAACAGGATTACAGCAGTAACGTCAACAAATGTTGACGAACCCTCACACTGACTATTTCAGTCTTGGACACTACAGGTGTTTGAACACAACGTCCTTGCTTCAACATGCAGAAGAAGATGTGCACAAAAACACACACACACACACACACACACACACACACACACACACACACACACACACACACACACACACACACGCAGGGCTTGTTGTAACTTGAGTGAAGTTGAATGGTATCGATAATGACACTGACAGTGCTAAAACCTGAATTGCATTCTCTGTGTACAGTACATATATTTCTGCACAGGCACGCACGCACGCACACGCACACGCACACACACACTCATGCCCACATCGTTTCGTCTGGCAAGAACATCAACCACCAGTTGTGGCAGCACTCCAGCAGATTTCAAAGATTCCCCAACAGCAGAAACCAACAGCAGAGAGAGTGAGTAAGAGTTTAACACAAAGTGAGTGTCAAACTCTCCTGACATTCCAGCTGAGTGAAGCATGTAGCAACATGGCACAGTCTGAATGAGATCAGTAAGAGTCGGTCTGTTCACTGACACTTCCTGGTTCTGGCTGCTGGTCTTCACACTCCCAAACACTGACCCTGATGTCTGCACTCAGCGAAAGGTAAAGTGGAGATGCCGTTACAAGCTGCTGGGTTTGTATGCGATAAGAATATTAATTAATAAGCTACACTTGAACACAATCTGTTCCTTGGCAGGTTTTCCAGTACAGTGTTGACTGGAGAGAAAAGCACACACTGGAAGTAGAGCCAGGTGTCGACCTTCAGTACTTTTTTGGAACTGAAATGCGTTTGTAGAACCGAACTGAAAACTGTCAAGTACTAAAAGCTGGCATCAGATACGTGCTCAGAGTCTGATTTAAATCATAACTACAGTGTTTTATAACATGGGTTTTATTTTAGTAGCTCTGGCCACAGATTCTGTAACCAACTCCGACACCTCAGCTCTGGGTATCAGATACAGCACACCAATCCAAAAACAACTCTCAAGTTCTCTCATTTAAAAGATCTGTTTACCACACCGCAACTGGGATCATTTTTATGATATTGACCAAGAAGATCAGTAATATAAAGGCCGATACACAGATGTAGATGTAGTTTTGTTTTTTTCAAATGAAAAGAAAGAGGTTCGTTTGCCTCGGGTGATGTCACCTGAGTCAGCTGCTGCTGCAAGAGGAGCAGCTGCTTATAACCTGGCAGCTTGTGGTGTTAAAGTATGTGATGGAAAACATACAACCACCTTCCATTAAAAGCTGTGACAGGTTTGACACAGTGAGGCTGTGTACTGAACCACCCAGGAGAGCTGTTTCACTCCCATGCATCACTACGACCGAGTGTGAAACCTCAATACATTTTAAGACTGGAACTGTGTCTTTATACCAAGAAACTGGTACAAAGAATTGGCAGCAAATGCTCGGTCAGACTCTTGTTTTGATGATCTTATCCTCAGATTGAATATGACCCAAATTAAATAGTAATTCCGTCAGTTCTATGCAGTGTTTTAATTAGATGAAAGTCTTGTTTAGTTGAAACAATCTCTAAGAACTGATACATGTGAGAAGTTGCAAAATGAAAAAAAAGGGTTTTATGTCCATTGAGCAAAAATCTGAACCTGGATCAGCTCTGGTTGAAAAAAAAAAAAAAGTGCTTCATCAACAAGCCCTGAGCTTGTATGGTCTATCAATACTTGAGCTTTTGGCAGCTGGCCTGGTGTTGTGTGCGAGAGGCTGCTGAGTGGGGTTTTTTTCTGCTTTGGTAAGTAACAAGTCACAGTGAAATAAGCGTCACATAAAACCATATTGTATGTTTCCGTTTCAGTTCACTATCTTTGTCAGAAGTGGTCTATAGTTTAATTCATCTGTAGCTTCACATCTGATAAACCACAGAGAGGGATGGGCTGACATGTGGGTTATTAGGGAGTCTGACAATGTAATTACAATAGTGAAAAAAAAAAGAATGACTCATTTATGACGTCAGAAAAGTATAAAACTTCTATTACTATGACAAGGTTGTTGCCGTACATCAAAGCAATATTATTTACTCAATTCAAGAACATCCGGTATTAAAAAGGTCTGAGGTTCACAACACAAATATGTCTGCAAGTTTCTTCTTCACCTCTGGGTCCGTAACTAACACAAGGTCGACAACATTCGAAATTTAAATCACTTCCTTAATTTAATTTTTCAATGTATGTGGTTAATGCAAATGATCATCCGACTTGTGCTAAGAAAAACCGTCACCTCCTTTCTGCTTCACACACTGACCTTTTCTTTTTGCATTCACGGGTGCAATACAATCTCTGCAGTGCCATATCACAAAATGGCCATAATATAGAGTAAACCTGTGTGGGTGTGTGCATGTGGTAATGTGTGATAGGGGCATTCATCACTAAAAATGAGAGACTCGAAGTTGCTCGGCCAGGTGCTGAAATATGTGGTTTTCAAACTCAATTTCCAGCCTGCCAGCCAGTCTGTCTGTCTCTCCTGGGACAAATACTGCGCAGCCAGTGGAGCCTGAAGACACGTGGAGAGTGTGATCATCAACTAAAGAGCCTGTGTTAAAAAAAAAAAAAAAAAAAAGAGACACTGACATTTCACATCACTGTGTCATGGACAGGCATGCCAACTGGATGCGTCAGGTTGACTGGATCTGGATGGTAGTTGCCACTTATCTGCCCAAATTTGGAGTGATCCAAGCAAATCCAGTCTTTACGTTTAAATGTCTTAAGTTTTTTTAAATCTTTGATTAAGTGTTGAAACAGCACAATGAGTAAAACAGCAAAAACATGGTTTTCCAGACCCTGGTTCATCCACTCACGTCCAATAGTTTCTTGTCATTTAAAGATTAATTCTTTCTGGATTATTTAATCTTGATATTTTATCTATCCAGAACAAATGGTTCTCATTTGTTTGGACTGTACTATGACATTTCTTCCTCAAATGTTGGAAGGTAAATGCTGCAAAAACACACCTCGACTTTCAGGTACCCCTGTTTTATTTTTTATGGAGAACAGTCCTGAAAGACCCCAGCTGCTTTTCAGTGAACTTCACTTTGACCAGCACCATTATGTCTTGGGGGAGGGTCATTAAATATTTCTCTAACTTAAATGGCAAAATCAGGAATGTCAGACTTCTGCATGATAGACACAGACTGCATAACAAAGATTCATAGTAAATTAGCTTTTATTTTCCCATCATCTGTTCTGATGCTAAAACTACAAGTTAATGTTTGGCGTTGACAGTATGTGCATTTGAAAGCCAGGGACAATTTATGTTAGTCCTCAATCAACCTGTGCAGTGGTGTACTAATCTCCACAGACAGCTGCCATTTCTTTATTGATAGACCAGTTTGCTTTAAAGGTCACAGGATCTGCAAAATAGGTAGGTTTCAACCTGTTAGGGCATGAGCATGCACAGAAAATATTCATTTTCAAGTCAGTTTTCAGTGTCAGCACAAGGGAATAACATGCACATATGTTTTAGCTATGATTTCTTCCATGTGCAATAGTCTTTTCAACCTCCCACCAAGAATAAGTATCAGTCAGCTCATCACTAACAGGTGCTAGGTGTCTTCAGAGGTGCCTTACCAAACCAAAAAATAAAAAATGCAAATGTTCTCTGGGTTGTTGAAGGAAAGTAAAATGAAAGTCAGGTGGTTACATTAAAGGCGAAGAAAAAAGTCTGACTTAGAGGTGTAGTCCTCTTGGGAGTTTGAATTTGAAGCGTAACAAGTTGAACTGAGATTATGTCAAGGGAAGTCATTTGTACACTGCGGACACTGTCACTTCTGCAGCGCCAGCACACACACCTGCAGAAACACACACCACAGGAGAGCTGGCGACATTTGATCATCTTACACTGCTCTAATTTAAGCCAAGTACCTCTCTGTCTCTCTCTCTCTCTCACTCACACACACACACACACACACACACACACGCACACAGGAGAGCCCCTACGACATTCACTCTTATGCTTACTCTTATGTTTAGCCCTGGGGTGGAAACAAGGCCAAAGAACAAGCCCTGGTTTGTCTCTGTGGTAAAATCCAGTCTAATGCATAAGCTCTGGCCCTTTGGTTCAAACCAGTGTGATAATTAGTCAGCCCAGTTTGACTGTGGTATGAATACCAGGCCAATAATAACCCTAATCATGATGGCCAACCCAGTTTGGCTTTTTATGGGACCTTGTCAAATCTGGACGCCTCATGCTGGTTGATTGGTCTTAATGGAAGTAGAGTCTTCCTGGGAGGTAGAACAGGACTGAGACTGAGGCAACACATCAAACTTGGACTATTTTCCTCGCTCACTGTCATTTTAGGTGTGAATTTTTCACCGTGACACACTGGCTGTTTTCCATTTTAGCTAAATGGAAGACAGGATGTTTTCCCTAATAAAACTCCTAGTCCTCTTTGCTATATATAAGATATATATAAGATATAAGAGATGCTTTATGAACCTGAATAGGTGATTCATTTGTCACCCATTGAAATGACATCATTGCTTCAGCGAAACACAACTATACAGCCGTTTCTACACAGTGAGTCAGTTCATTGAAGAGGAAAAATAGGTGCAGCTTGCTCTCACACTGAGATACTTTAGTGCCAAACTCCATCTAACAACGTAGCATTTAGGCATTTTCCCATCTCATCACATGTAGACACCGCTAAGAGCAAAACCTATTAAATACTTCAATGTCTTGGATTAACTCTTCAGTTCGGCATCATGCAATACACCAAACGACACCTCTTTTCCACTTAAAATCACACTTTTCGTATCTCATCGCTTGTTGCACTGCCGAACTTCTTCCGTCAGAAGACACATCGGATGGCAGCAGCTAGCAGCGTGAACCAGTTGAAAAAGTTTAAAATTAATTGAAATCAAGTGCTACTAAATAGATTGGATATACGCCGATCGAGCTAATGTATGTTAAAGATATAGAAAATGGCTTATTTTATCTTTAAGGAGGCGTCTACGTTTGCCCACAAGCAAGTAAACACTAAATTGACAGATTTCTAAACAGGGTGTAACGTCGGCTTCTCCTGGCTGGCGAACAGAGGCACGAATAGGAGTTAATTAGCTACTAATAGTCAAGCAAGGAGACGTTTCTCACCAAGCGTTAAAAGCCCAAAGACGAGTGTGAGGAGCCATTTATCCATTTTCATCCCTCTCTTCTTCCACTCTTATCTTTTTTTCCCTTTAATGTCCCCTGGTTCCCTTTGTCCTGTGTGGGGGGTATAGACCAGTCCTCTCCCGCCGCTGTCGGGCAAGCCAATAAAACTCTCAGATGTGTGCAGTCAGTCCGCACCGCACACCGGGCGGAGCCACAAAGCCAAACGGACGCACACCTTGGTTCCTAATCCTGTAAAACCGAGTCCGAATCCCGACGGGGTCGTTTGCATGGTCCACACACTGACACTGAGCCGGTTTAATGAGTGTATGGGAATGGGGGGCGAAACGGATAGAGAGGGAGAGGGGGGCTGATAGAGACGAGGGAGAGAGAGAGAGTGAGAGAGAGAGCGGCCGGAAGTTAGGTGACGGTCTGGAGGAGGAGTGGAGGGAAGGGAGGTCCCAGGTGGAGAGAGAGATTCCCATATCAATCTGGCTCTGCCACAGTGTTTCAGGGGCTGATATTAGTCTTTATGTCAGATGTTAGTTAGTGTGCACCACCTCTGATATGATGCACAATTTCTTATAATCCATCTGCATAATAAAGGTAAAGGTAAATGTGTTTCATTCTCTCATCATCTGCAGGTTAATATTTGGTGTCAGATGACAGTATGTACATTTTAAAGCCAGGAACAATTTATATTAGCCCTCAAACAGCCTGTGCAATGGTTTACTAATCTCCATAGTTAGCTATTTCTTTATTGATAGAGCCGTTTGCTTTAAAGGTCACAAGATCTGCAACATCAGAACGCTTCTACCAGCTGGGACATGAGCATGCACAGTAAATATTGTGTCTACGTTCAGCACAAGGGAATAACATGCACATTTGTTTCAGCTATGACTTCTTCAATGTGTAACAGCCTTTTCAACCTCTCACTAACAATAAGTGTCAGTCAGCTCATCACCAACAGGTTCTAGGTGGCTTCAGAAATGCCTTACTAAAAAAATATATAAATACACTAACAAAACTATTAAACAGACTGTACAAGCTAACTGATATTGACATATATGAATGTAAGTCATATGGGAAATACGGTCTAAAACAACCAGTTCTAACCAGTACGGACAAAAATAAAAAAATACACAGACATGTCTGTGGGTTTTTGAAGGAAAGGAAATGAAAGTCTGGTGGTTACATTAAAGGAGAAGATACTTAGTCTGACTTAGATATTTAGTCCTCTTGGGGGTTTGAATTTGAGTGCGTTTCATTTTATTTGAAGCGTAACAAGTTGAACTCAGTTTATTGTAAGGGAGCTAATTTGTATATTGCGGACACTGTCACTTCTGCAGTGACACAATACACGCACCACCTTCACTGAGGTTTGGAGCTGCTCTCTGTTTATTCTCATGGGGACAGAAGATGAAGCCCACCCTCCATGAGTATAAGAGTACAAAGGTGAGTGGTGATGGGTTAAGGAGTTTATTTATTTACCATAGAAGAAGAGATGAAGTGGGTGGGTCTTGCATGACATTTCAATGCAAGTATCTCCCAAGTTTTCATTTTCATTTTCCTTGCAGGCTGCCTTTTCAAGCATGACACATTCCTGTTGTCAGCTACTGTCCTGCGGTCAGACCCACGCTGTGTATTTACACAGACCGACTGGGCAGGGCAAAGTTCAACACAGACAGGAGCAGGAGGAGGTGGGACGTTTGGATTTGTAACCTCAGGGTCAAAGGTTAACACTTCATGCTGTGATACATTTGACTATCCTATTTTTAAAATGCGTGTGTAAGCCTACTACTGCATGTGGTCTCAACACGGTAGCATCTGTTGTGACACAACATCTGTTTAAACTAACACACACACACACACACACACACACACACACACACACACACACATACACACACACACACACATATACATACAGGACACAGTCTTATCTGACTGCCTTATACTCCCCTATCAGTCATTAACTAGGTCATGGATTCTTGGCACTGGATCTGGTTTTAATGGACTAACAGCCTTTTATTTCAAACAAGTCACTGCCAACCACCTCAGATACGATGCATTTAAGACCATAAACCTCTAAACTCCAAATCACTTGAGACTTTTTTACAGTAAGAAAAATGCAGGCAAACAATAAAGCGATAAGTGTAACAGGTCAGAACAGTCAGAAAACTAAAACCAACAGTTAATATCAAAATCTAACATCAAAGCAGCAGGACAAATACCCTATACCCTGTTTTTATATTTCCAAGTTTGAATTTTTGTAGCAGTAGCAACAGCATAACAGAGAGGAGAGGAAAAGTCAGATAAGGAAAGATTTGAATGAAAATGAACAGGAAGTAAAAGTAGTGCTACTTTTACAGTGTCCCATGATGGTTAATCGTCTGTACACTTGGTCAAAGCTGTAAAACTTAAAGTTGAAGAATACTGAAGAAAATAATCAGCTGTTTTAACAGAAATAATATATATGAATATATAAATATATATATATATATATATATATATATATATATATATGTGGAATCAGGAATATTCATATGTATGTGTGTGTGTATCTATACATATGAACATACCTGATCATACTTATCACAACTAAAGACAAAGGCTGATTCTGAGGATGAGATAATGCAAGTTTGAAAGTTTCATGAGCCGACAAGATTGATGGTCTTTTAAAGAATCAAAATACATGGAGACACTACATTGTACATTAGTGAAAGAAAAAGCTTTGACTGCTGATTGTTGAAACCAAATTTCAACATATAGCTGGAGCGCCATCTAGTGGATCTAATGGATAAATACAGAATCTTGTGGGGGTTTTTCTTCTTCTCATAAGTCGATGTTTTTACATTGTATCTTTCCTTTTTAAACATCCATCCATCCATCCATCCATCCATCCATCCATCATACCTGCATATTATTGGCAGTTATAAATAGCTGTGGATTAAAAACCAGTTTCTTTTATTGAAATAGAGGACCTTGCTAATGAATCCCAATGGGAAATCGCAGTCTTATAGCTGCCAAGTCACATTGATCCTGAAATAAAGGATGTAGATAAGAAGCAAAATACAAAATGAGCCTAACAAAAAACAAAAAACAAAACACTAGAATAATGCATAATGCAGTGGCATTTTACACACCTCCCGTTATTAATTTGGTGCACATACACTTCCTGTTTTATGACAAGAGCACATTGTATCAAGAGAGAATAAAAAGTAACAGATAATCTTGCACTTAGCAGTAGCTCAGTACGAGTGCGATCAACACTCAAAACCACAAACGCATTTTCAGCAAAAACACACAGGATATGTGACTGTCACACAGAGTCACACACACACGCACACACCGCCTGCCTGCATTGCTCAGTGCCTTCCGCCTGAAAAAAACAGCTGCAGAAGTGAAAATGACGCTGTTTGAAACATTCATTTCACCCACTCATATTAAACTGGAGACTCACATCATAATTTATTATTTATCACATCATTTATTTGAAAACTTCACAATTTGTATTGACGTTTTCACACTAAAAGTACATAATGTGATACATACAATGTAAATGCCCTAGTAAGACAGTACAGATAAATTAAAGATGAATGCAGGCTTGAATGATTTTGTTATCTAGTATGTTTTCTGGTATTACATGTATGACATTTATGTTATGATCAGGTAGACTTGCCTGTGTTTTCGGAACATAAGTGACACATAGTTTGTCTGGTACAGAGACCTATTTCTCTGTGATTCATTAAAGACATCAACATTTCCTTTATCAATTCAAAACACAAATACAAAAAACAGCACTATAAACAACTGCAGATAAGTGTACATAAAAGATTTTTTTTAAGATTGAATGTGCTTCTCGCAGTGAAAACATTTCAGCTGACATTCTTTTCTGCAGCATGACTGGAAATGAACTATTGTGTATAAAAATCAAGCATGTTGGATGCTCTGCACTGACCTAGTGGCAAACCATACTCATGTTTTCTCAAGTTGCAGTAAAAAAAATAAGAAACAAGATGCTGAAGAGACATTCAGGGAAATCCGCTTATTCACTTTCAGCCAGCGACTGCTTGGCTTAACTTTGCGTAAAGACTGGAAACAGAGGGAAATAGATACCCTGGGCATCTTGGAACCTTATGGTCTTCCTCAGCAGATGGAATTTCCTAAAATGTACTCATTTTTACTCAAGTATAAAGAAGATGACTTATCAAAAAAAATATACTACAAATTATAAAAACCCCTTTAAAGAGCACTCTGAAAAATAGTTTGAGTATATAACCTTTATGTCTCATTATTTTGCAATAATGGCCTTTAATACCTCACAGTCTCTCAAATCTGTTTCATCATGGAGTCTTTCCTCTCTTCCTTAAGAGAAAGGAGAAGAGAGCAAAAACTAATGAGGAAAAGAGGAGAAAGGAAACTGCTCCTCACACAAAGTTAAATGTTTTTTGTCTGTGTTTAATTTTTTGTTGTAATAATGAGATAGTTTAAAAGTTTAATATCTTGAGAGGAAAAAGAAAGAGTTTAATAGTTAATAGAAAATAAATACAAGATTATGAGGACTATAAAACCAAAAAAACACCTTGGATCATTCGAAGTTTGAACATCATGTTATCATGTATCATAAAACTGAAGCTTATGAAGATTCATAGTTTGAGTTCAGCGCTAACAAGCATTTTTTTAATTTGCCTGAGAGATTATAAATTACTTGATAAAAAGAGTGAATTTCAAATTGATTTTCACCACATCCTGATCACATCATGACGTTTAACACCCAAACCCAGTGATGTGATTTAATTCAGCTCGTCCTCCACTGCGAGTGGATGAATTGATCTTCTTCAGTGGAGCAGAAACGCCAGTAGAGAAAAAGGGAGGAGACGTGAGGAGAGGTGAATTGGGAAAGCAAATGAAGAAAATAGAGGACCTCGGTGAACCCAGATAAAAAGAGGAGTGATTAAGTTTTTATAAACTGCAAGACTCACTTCACGTCACATTCTTGGTGTTTTGGGGGCTTTCTTCCTCGGCTGAGGAAGAGGAGGAGGCTGCTCGTCATCATCATTAACGACTGGTCTGGGGGTCTGAAGGGAAGGGAACAACAAGTGTCAGACACTGGTAACCAGCAGCCCGCCTGCACTTTGATGCTAAAGACCTGCTGTTTAAATACTACTGAACACATGCTGTAATAATCTTCTGACAGTTTTCATCTGACTACTCGTGTTTTCAACTGCTTACAAATTTAAATGCCCCCTAAAAGTTCAACCTTCACAGACTTTGCGAGGCAGGAGTAGATCCACTTTAATCTCCTACCTGTGCAGCTCTCCTGGGGGTGGGCTGAGGTTGACCGTTGGTGGGCTCGGGGGCTCTGGGACGCTGCTGTTTGGTGCGGTGTTGGCGAGGACCAGTGTGGCCGGCCGGCTGCTGCTGCTGATGGTGGTGGTGGTGGTGAGGATGATCGGGTGGATGATTATGCTGATGACGATCATGCTGGTGTGGTTGCTGAGTATTGGTCCACCCCAAGCGGAGCTCCTCCTCATCTGAAAATTAGCACAGATGATGGGTTGCTGCTGGATTACCTTTATCTTTACTATTTTGGCAAGAGTAAGTTCTTAGTTTTTAATCTATGTCTATATTTTATATTGATACATATGATAAATAATCTGCATTGGCTTTCATAAGAAATGTGACAACCATACAAAAACAACCAATCTACCAAGAAAAAAACTCTTACCCTTCAGTTGCATCCTATTTCTCTTCTTGGCCAAAACACAGCAAACAATGGTGGTGATAATCAGCACCAGAACAATACCTGATGAGAATGGACAATAAGAATAATTTGTGTAAGGCATGAAAGTCCCTTTGGATAAAAGATTCTGCCAAATGAACAAATTTAATGTAATGTAAAAATCAACAATTGCATATTTCAATCTGATGTAATTCCTACAAGATTAATGTCACAGTGTTTCTATTTAACCACATCCATTATGCTGTGAGGACAGATTTGGAAAGTAAAAGAGATGCATCACTGTATACAACCTGATAACAGATACAGACATACTTAACCCATGGAGCTACACAGGTGAGCAAACATACCTCCTCCACCGCCCACGAAAATCCAGACACTATGTCCAAATATTTTTTCAGGGAAAACAAAGCCTTAAGGAGGAAAGATGGGGGAGAAGAGACATAATTAACCTTTTTGAAAGTTTTTAAGTAATCGTCCTGTAATGTATGCAACCAAAGGACAACAGGTTGAAAGCAACACATACGCTGCATCAATCCTATGACAATTGATAGATGCAATAATCGGGAAAGGATGTCAAAATGAAAATCAAAATGTCTCCTTATAATTCAAATTAAGGGGTTCAGATAACCTGTTCAATATTTAGCAGTTCTCATCAGTACTGTCCTATCAGTTCTAGGTGACACCACATTCAATCAAACAAAGTGATTTCCATCAAATGTGAGGCAAATATCCCATTGTGTATGACAGACTAGAAAGACATGGCTATAGTAACCAATGGATAATACTTACCACCGGTCTTGCATGGTTGTTCAGTAGCATTACTGATCGTAGTAGTGCTGGCTTTGTTGGAGACTTTGCATTTGACGGAACCTTTTTGCGCCTGTTTGAGGTCTAGTGACAGAGTGTCAGTGGTTTTCTTTTCCAACGGCTTGTCATTCTGAAGCCATTCAAAAATGAGACCATCTTGCTTCTGGGTAAAAATATCATTAATGGATAGATTAGAAGTTCATCATGAGGATATGTAGAGTATAACAAAAAAGACCTGTCTAGTACAAACATTGTATTTTTTACAGTGTGAGACTCTTTCTCAGGCCTTTTATTTCGATAAGGCAAATCTTTCCTTGTTATTTGGAGGCCATGTGCAGCTGTAGAGCTCAAGCGTCAAAACAACATGTGCAAAAATGGTGGAGTGTTGACCTTGGAAACAGTAGTTTGACAAAAAAAATCTAGACCACATCTCAGGGTCCCAAGACTAGTGCCCAGAATGGCCCATAATCAGCTGCCATTCATGCTACAAACTCCAACTCAAATAAAAACAATAGAAATAATATCAATCGACATTCAACTTGTGCATGGAAAGAAAGAGAATATTTATGTACTCTTTATTTTTCCTGGCTTTTACACTGTCACAAGGCCCTCACTACTTTGTAAATAAAACATATTGGACATTTGTTCTCACCGAACCAACAGTGCAGGTATATTCGACTTTGGATTTGTAACATTTAGCCGTTAGATGAGGTGTCGGGACAGGATCTGAGTAGAGTAGATTTGATTAGATCAACCATTATTTGAAGTAGTGCTCATTATACATTTAAAAACACTGTAATTATCATAACATGAAAACAGATGTGATATGAACTAATGACATGATATTAAACCAAAAGTAGTCTTGTGATGACTGCACTTTATATCGATAATCTGATGCATCACAACACACCAACATTGATATGACAGATAAGGTCAAGGCATGAAGAGGAATGGAAATAAGATATATATATATATAGCGAGAAAAACAGGAAATGTCTGTTGTTACCTACCGTATATACATAGATTTGTCCTCTTTAAATTTTGTACTGCCTTTCCTTCAGCTGTGAAAACCTCCGGGTAGTAGATCCCTCCCTGGTTTTTCTTAAGATTTGTGAGCCTCAAGGATCCATTTGGATGGATATCATTCACGTTCCCTGTGGTAATACTCATGCCTGTCTTCGATACTCCACGATTAAAGATTGTAGTAGTGTTTAGCTTCCATCTCAATTTTTCTGCGGCGGTCAGTTTGTGGTTAAGGAGCACCGTAAAGTTCCCTCCTGTTGTGGCGTAATTGTTGCAATCATCCTTTGAATCTTAGGAACAGAAAGAAAGGGGAAAAATTATGATGGAGAAACAGACAGCACTCAAATTTTGCAGTGCACAAACTTATGAAAGCCCTGAGCAATCACACCAAAACTTATCAAACTTAATGTTTTGTGTTTGTCAACTTCAGTGCTACTGATATTTGACATTTTTTCATAAGCCTAAACTTCATTAGTGACCCCTAGTGTTCGATTGGCTGGAACAAATAAATGTGGGGCGCCAGGGGAATGTGATGGAAACGGTACATTCTCTGGGAACCATGGATGTGCTCAGTATCTGCTAATAACCTGCTTGCACAATCTTCCTGAGTGTGCGTGCGTTTGATTCTGCAAGTACATGAAATCTGAAAAGACAAAACTCTATAAAATGAAACTCAACCTACACAAACACTTTCACCTTTCTGCAAAGCCTGAGTGCACTGAGGATGGATGATGCGCCTCTCCAGACCACAGTCTGCTGCGAAGCCACGCACTAAACACACTCCCACGTGAACTATGTCTAAACATCCAACATTCATTTTCATTTACTAAAGGTGCCGGCAATTCTTTTTCGTAAATATGTTAAAATCACTTTTGTGAAGCATGACTGAAATCTTTTCAGTAATCGCTGGGTTTAGAAAAAGAAAAAAATCCTTGATTAGCAATCACAGAATGTCACTGATAAAGTTTCATTTTCTGTGAAGTTAACCCACAGGAAATGATTGGTTTTGTGAGGTAGAACATTAATATTTTTCCATATGGTAAAAAACAAAAAACGTTGGTGGTTTAAGCCTTATTTGGAACATAAATTTGAGTCACTAGTCAAAATAGGGTTAATGTCTTCATTTGGGTGACAGTTGCAAAAATGTGGAGGCTCAGCCAATGTACCCTTCTGGTTGTCTCAATCACCCCCAGGTGCCCTACTGCTTATATCAACCCTCAATTTAACCTGCTGGTTTGCCGTCAGTCATAAGGCATCAGTGAGTGTTACAAACACATTGAACTGTTTCAATGAAATATTCTTGATCTGTGTCAGACAGGAACTTACATTTCCTAATAATCGCATTTAGCAGTTGACAAGTTCGTATCATCAAAACCCAAAACAGAAAAGTTAGATATTGGATATCGTTATTTTCTTTCACCCGACAAATTCAAACTGAGAGGAAGTCAAATGATGCAATTCATGACATCTAAAAGTTGGTGAAGTGGAGAGGAGCAACAGCTTTGTACTTCAACAGAGCTTAAGGTTTCCATTGCAACCCCCTTTAAGATAACAAACTACTCACATTTAGGTTTTTCAGCCCACTGTCACCTGTAACGAATATGTTACTTAAGATATGACATACGTCTTTCATGTAGTTATGACTTAAATGTCTTATTATCTTATCTTATTATATTAAGATGATGAGCTTTTTGGATCTATCCATGTCCCAGAACATTTATTATGTTGAAATAAAATTAAAGTTAGAACAAGCAGATGTCTCAAAATAATGAGAAGTTGCACCATGACCTTGAGATAATGATCTTAAAAACTTGTTACCAAAGCTGTGACATCAGCAAAAATATACTTTAATATGAGTTATGATCTCAGAAACCATCTGTGTTCTCTGCTTCCTGTAAAGTCCTAAGTTCAAAGTTACTGTTCATCTAGTTTAAAAATATCCTACAATAGACTTCCATCGGACACTCACAGTGCTTTCTATTTTATGAAAACCTCTGAACAAACTAGTTCCAGGAAGCAACAAACAAATGTGTGAAGGCCTTACATATGAACCATATTTTCACATCTTCACACATTTATTTTCAAACTAGCAAAGCATCAGTTTTGACATTTAAAAATCAGAGACAATAATTGTTCATCTGCAACAACTAATACTGCTTTTTGATAATTATATTTATTGGCTGAACAGAGGCTAAATGCAGTTTAATGAATAAGATGAAATGATGATGATAGAAATTATACATTGACTTGAGTTTACATTGTAGTAGTTTCTGAAAAAACTTTTCATAAAAAAACCTTTCATTATTTTGATCAATATGTTTAGATCATCCAGCAACTCTTTAAAACAACTTTAAAAATGTATGTGATCATTTTTAGGTTTTCTATCCTCCAGAAAAACTCCATTTAGTTTAATCATTATATATATATAAAAAAATGTGGCACTTTTTGTTGATGTATTTTTTTTACATAGTACATTAATTCTTTTTTTCCATGGGTGAAATCATATTGTTGCCTTTGTGTTTTGTGTAACTGCTGCTTCTGTAGGTCTGTACTAAAAACGCTTTTGCTCGGCTTCCTGTTCATCCTCTGCAACCTCACTGCAGACCATTGTTACCACAATAGCAGCGTGTTTTGGCTGCAGCTCAGATGCCTGAATGATGTCTTTCGTCTATGTCTGATATATTTCTGCTTTAACTCGCATTCACCCGCAACAATCACAGCACACCTTTTTTGCTAAAGTTACAACTATAAATAAAAGAACAAATATAGAAAACTTATTTATACCAACAATAACAAGTCAGTTTGATTGATGCACATGCACACACACACACACACACACACAAATGTACACCAATTTCTTATAGATATCGTTTCATGTCATTCAATGGCCACCTCAGAAGCAACTGAACTCTAAACCCTGCCTGTGTCAGGAACTTCAGCTCACTACAGAACTTTTGTAGAGCTGAACGTTTTGCTGGTTCCCCTTTAGTGCACCTGCCATGAATTAATGTAGCCTTTAATTCATATTTAGTTTTTGTGAATTTTTGTCAATGGTCAAATTTCAAGCGCTTGTGCATGTTTCGTCCCATTTCCCACAACTTAAAAACTGTATATTTTTGCTTTTTTTTTATTTTGTAATTAGTTTCCCTGCTTGAAAACTTAATGGAAACCAATAGGAGCCTGGAAGGAAAAGCACATAGAAAAACATAAAATACATCTGAAACTTACGGCATTAATGCGTGATTTGTAGTAACAGAATAGAACAAATACCTGAATCATTTGACCCGTGTCATAGTAAAGATAAAAAGTACATTAGTAGCAAATGTGGAAAGTACTTCAGTTGGCCAAAAAGTTCAAATATGATTTTTGTTAACAGGTATTTTTCTTTTAGAGGATTTGCTTTTAAAAACCTCATGGTAATCAATGTTAAATACCAGTTTGTTTGAAATGTGACGCTAAGGGACAACCCAAAAAAATCAAGCTACTGATCTGTACTGCACTAAAATCCTAAAATTCCTAAATTACAACATCCTTCAAATTAATGACAGTGAGAAGTGTAATAGTTTAATTATACAGTACCTGTGGAGGTGATGATGGAGCTGCAGAGCAGAAGCAAAGTTATTTTAGAGACAGCAGCCATCTTCATCTTCATCCTCGCCATATTTAGCAGAAAAGACGAAGAGCCGCTTTCCCTTATCAAGGTTATTTCCTGTCAGAGCACAGTTAGATCATCTCCTGTGTATCTACGTGTTTATGGTTTCTAAAGGAAGTGATCCAAGAGGCCCTATCTACTTTCAAAGCGAGCAAAACAAAGGTCATATATAGAACAAAGAGAGTTAGGTGTGCTTCTTATTCTACTTTTATTGTTTCATGAACTAAAAATATAATCTGTCACCTCATTCAAAAATACTCAAATACAACATAATACTATTACAAACACCAAATTACAATTACAGTTACAGTTTTTAGATGAGCATCAACTTTTGTTTGAGACATTAAAGCATAAATTAACATCAGTTTGAAACCACTTCCTTTTGTGCTATATAGATTTGGGGTCAACCTAAACATCTACATCATGTTTTGTATTAACATCTAAACTGCCATGCTAAACCTGCAGCACTCATTCATATATTAGCTTTAATCGTAACAGGAACTCAAATAACATTTTTAGCAATTTTCTTCTTATAGCCATAAAATGTCAAAGTAAACAACTGAGACCAAATGAGGAAGATATGCCCAGTTTTTTTCATTTGACCAATTTGTCATGAGCTAATAAGTTTAAACAATTTTTAAATCAATATTGTGTTTAGAAGTTTCAAAAAAACATTCATTTTGCTAGTCTGTGATGAATTGAGTGTTCTGAGGTTTAAGATGAATTGTCTACTCTGAAAGCTTTAGAAATAAAAGATTAAAATTAATAAAGAAAAGTTCTGTCTGGCAATAATTAAAACTTCTGTGATAGTAAAACGACAATTTCAGAAAAACAAATGTGCTGTTTACTTAAACTCTAATCCATGTAGAAGATTAAACATCTTACCTTCGAAGGTTTGACTGGATGTCAGACTAACACCATCACGCGCACGTTGATCATCTGACTCTCACCATAATTGCAGCAGACAAGCCAAAATGTGTGCTAATGCAAATGTAAATAATTTGTATAAAGAGGTGACACTGCCTTTTTTTCTCCTGAGAGTGTTGCTTTGGTGACCACGAGATGAGCACGGGGGAAATGTGTGAACCCACACACATAGCTTAAATTAACATCAGCTTGTAGGTTTCTCAACATGATTTCTGAGCCAACAGTACGTATGTACTTCAAAAGGTTAAACTAAAAGTTCAAGTAATCCAAGTATTACTGAAAGAGAAAGTAAAACAAGTCACAACAGAGATATAGTAACTGTTAAGCAGAACTATGATCAGTTCCACAGATTTCTTAACTGATTTCCTGATTGTTTGTTTTTTAAGTAAAGTCATTATTATTTAGGAAAATAAGGACAGAAAAAAAGAATGGTCACATTTGAAGACATCCAGTCCCCAGTATGGGTCAAGCTCTTAAAACTCTTGATCCCACATTTCCTATAATGTAATGGAACTAAAAAACCTAATTTTGTTACACCCTCCCTGCCTATCACAGCCTTCAACCTCCACACCACAGTTGAAAACCCAAAAGGTTTCTGTTGTAAATTCATCCCATGACATCATCAGGGTCATTTGACAAATTTGGCCCACAGCCAGTACTATAAGCCCTGACAAGCTCATGATTATGTGTTGAATCATAACCTCATTCTAAAATATTTGGCTCTTACTGAAGACGTGAATCTGGACATATATTTGTGACATATTTTGAAGGAGTCAAACTAATTTCCCAGAACACCTGGGCACTGTAGTTTTTAACAAATATTCGTCAAAAAAAAAAAGAGTAAATGGCAAACTTTTTGGTAGACTATTTTCAGAGGAATAAGCTCTGTCAGCCTGCTCTGATACCTTCCTTCTCCACACATCTCCAAGGCAAGACACAGAAGACATCAAAACTAAAGCACGAGGACAAAAACGTAGAGCAGTATGCAATCTGTGGGTCAAGATTGAACCATGTGTATGAACAGATCACATGAGTTTCAGAAATGAGAAAGGAAAGACTTGTGTGGGGGCAGCTAAATCATGTTAGTGCAATTTTTTTTTAACATTAAGAGGAACCTTATCTAAACCCCAAAAGAGAAGAACTTAACCTGCAACAAAGCATCTTGTTATTTCCTGCTTTTTTACAAAATATCAAGGCCAATCTTCTGAAGTGACACTAACTGTAGAGCTCTGTGATACAAAGACTGGACAGTGAGATACCACTCACTTGTGGTTTAACACATTAATTAACTGTTCACACAAGAACACACAGAACAAAACAACATACAGAAAACAAAGAGAAATTCACAGAGGGTGTTTCTCTCTGATATTGTAAAAATACAAGGATCTCTGTTACAGAAGTCACTCTGGATCTCTATTATGTTTCACATCCTCCAGCAGTTTTACTCTTCTTCCAGTTTTGGTTCTAGTACCTTGAACTTGTTCCTTGTTGTCCTGTCTGTGTGTGAGTTTTTCTGTACCTATTGTACATCCGCTACAGACACTTGTACTATAATTCTGATTATAATAAACTATAATTACATCACATTGGCCCTTCAACTTGTAATCCTGCGTGGGACATGTCGACATCATCTCACTTTTGGAGAAAAGAAACTGTCAACTCTTGGCAGAATGCCTGCAAATGCATCACTGGTAGTTACGATAAAATTAAGTCTAATATTAACACTAATAGAATCAATTCACCTCATTTTATAGGAGCTATACACTACATGTATTTGGTTTCACTTGCTAACAAATTGTTTCAAGTACATAACAACACACAACAAAAGCAACTAATTTAGGCTGTTTATGTTGTTGTTCCTGTTCTGCTGACACTACAGTATATGTCTACGCATACAACAACATACAACAAAAATTAAATTAAATCTGCAACACCAGATGGACTAAATCTGAAATGTGTAACTTCCAAATGAAATGAATAACATTCATCTTCACCACTGACACAAACCCATGTAAACTGAGAGTCAACAGCATCACGATACACTGACAAGATGGCTAAATGGCCTGTGCCACAGTAGTTACAGTACCTGCAGTTGTCCACAGGGTGGCACCATTTCATTTCATGTGCATGTAGTTCAAAATGATCCAACAAAAACCAACAACTCTTCAACTACTTACTGTAATTCTGCATGAAATATCAGTTTAAATGTCCAAACACAAATTTGTAGTATGCCCATATCTGCATCAACATAAGTAAAATGATGCTTCTTCCTTAATAAGTAATCAGCATTTTTGTTATCATATAAATGACACATATAATGGAATAGTATGTCAGCACTATAGTTTCTACACTACTGTGTTTATGGACATTACAGATGTAAATAGACTTTTAATAGCATCAGAAATCAATGACTACTAGAGACCATCTTGCCATGGGATCACACTGATTGCAATCCTATCATGGTGACAAAATCTGTCCAAAGACAGACAAATTAACACCCACCAAAGTCCTCAAAACTAACTCCCACTGCACTCACACACACACACACACACAGACTCACAAGGTGGAAACAATACCAGCCACATTGTCGTGTTAAAGGATGATGATGTTTATAAAACGTCTATAATATCAAAGAATTTTAAAACTTTACACATAATTCATAATCATCAAGATGAATAATCTTTTTAATTTCTACACGATAGGAAGAAAAACAACTGTTTTATATGAATTGTGTTGTGTATATATGTATATATATATGATAAAAGCATGAGGGTTTAGATGAAAGCAGCTTCTGGCTGGATTTGGTCCGAGCTCTAAACTTGATCAACCCAGACATTAAGATGATTTATGGCATCTCTGCTTTATGTGACAGCCTGTAAAACAGGGGGAAGCAGGTAGTTATGAGTCCTGATCTGATCTTGTAATGGAATGAGTTCTTGGTAGCAGGAGGACAGGCTGACTGTTTGTGTGTTCCTGTGAGGGACACAGATGACCCTCTTCTGTTAAATGGGCCTTTTATAAATAGAGCAGTTATTTTTCCATCACTCCAGTCCAACTTGTCCGTACATCAGACCGAAGACACCACACAAACCATTTAGATACTTCAGCATCCAATCACAATCCTCTATGCTAACCTCAACAGTCCATCATCATATCAGGATGCTCTAAATAACTATAGCCAATCAGATGTTTCAACTAGACTGCGTCAAACAAAATGGTTCTCACTCTTGGATCAGCAGGGCTGTGATGTGCCGAGTGGCCGACCTTCGATTAGATCATTCAGAGTCCTGCTGAAGGGCCCTTGAGCCAGATACTGAATCCTTACAGGCTCCAGAGGTTCTGCCCTTCAAAAAGACATGACCTCTGACCTCAGGGTGAAAGAGAACCAAAGAACGTGTCTATATGGAGAGATCGCTTTAGATTTTCATAGATGACTGTGTAATAATGCACTTTGTTTTAATTTTAGACAGATCATGTCACGTGTATTAAAATAATCATATTCAGTAACTTTCTTGAAATTGGATAGAACTACAATCAATATTTCTCTCATTTATTGTGCATGTTTCACAATAAATGTTGTGAAGTATGCTAATGAGCTAACAGTATACCACTGCACAATTAAACGCAATGCAAATCACTGGTAATTTTTTCAAATGTACAATATTCACTTTTTTAGTATCAAAGAAGTGTTAAAAAATATCTTTCAAACTGTCTACGGAAACATATGGTCACTGAGTCATTGATTTGAGATTAGCTGTAGCCTGGTTTGCTCAAGCCTTCCCTGGACCCTAAGATGAAATTCAATATAATAAAGTCACATAACACATATACCATGCATTTTATATGTAGGTATACAATTACATATTTTCATCTTTAAGCCAATTGAAGTTTACTTTTATACATTATTCTCACAGTGGCCATTTTGCATTCACATCACACCCAGGGTGGGAGGTTTTACAGAGCACAGACAGCCCAGGGGCCAGTCGAATGAAGCATTAGGAGTCAACCTCATGGCAATCTGCCTCATGTATGAACAGCCCACATACTAACCAATGAGCTCTCGGGGAAGATGATGCCACTACTACTACAAACTGTTGGTAAAAGTTCATTCTGAAAAGTGGTTTTGGAGTTTATAACAAACACTGTTGTTGACTTGCATCTTAATTACACTGAAAGGTTTCAAAGGCCTCAAACGAGCACAGCTCAGTGAGGCCTGTTGTACTCTTGAGGCCGTCTTTGTGAACAGAGGATCTGTTTATAGACCTTATGTGATGACACAATTCTGTATCAATGGAAAGAATGCCCACTGTGCTCTAATGACAGCCAATGATAAGAACATTTAGTTATGCATTTAGTGGCCTGCACTATCTGCAACATACCGCCTGTAATCCTCTCCGGACTTCACAGCCAGAACGGGGTTACTGCTCACTGGGACATTGTTTAGTAATGCTCAGATTTACTCTTTATAGAATCCTTGGGTTAATAGTGTTACCTGAATATTTTAAGATATTACATTAATTACCAGTACTGAAGAATTGAAGTAAATGGGGTCCCTTAGCTCTGTAAAATTCAAATATCTGTCTTGTTTATATCACAGAAAATATTTCCTAAGGCATTCTTAGGTAGAACAAGACAAAAAGCCTTGAGTTGGAGTTATTAATGTTAAATAAAATACTAACTGGTTTCAACTTCACTATTACACTACTATCAAAATGTTCAAATCTGACTATGCAAATCAGATCATTCATTTTGTTTATCATTAATAATCATCCATATTCCCTTATCTGTACCCGCCCATCCTGTGCAGGGTTGTCCGGGGCTGGAGGTTAATGCGGGATTGATGAGGGTCAAGAGAGGAAGTCAGGAATGTCTCTCTGCTGCTTTTAGTTTCGTTTACATGTTTAGATTCATTCATCACTACTGGACTTATCGACATATTTTTTCTACTCACTGTATCATTGTCCTTGAAAGTGAAAACAAATTAAATTGTCTCTAGCTCCCACACACTCCATCTAGAAGAATCATTGTGAAAACATTTTGTACAAAACCAAAATTGATACATGCGCCAATTGCAGCTCTGATCTCACAGTAGATAGGCCTCAGTTGATTTT